AATTTATGCCTATATCCCCTCTTCTACCAGTGATTGCAACCTCGCAAATATGCCTTTGTCCATAAAAGACTACACATAGGCAACACGGAACTATACATTTATATAATGAAATGCTTTTATTAGATCATAAGGTCCAAAAAGAAATTCATAATTTCCTGGTTGATAGCTTTGTCCAAATGAGACAATTTAATAAAGCTTTGAATGATTCTTTGATCATATTCTCACAGAATTTGTTCCCTGTTTTATTTACGTATACTATGTGTGAATGCTGTTTGAAATTTGTGCAGCAATTTTGAAGAAGCTCAAAATCATTACAAACAAATTGCTCAACGGACGAAAATTGCCATACAATGGTCACTGGAATACTTTGGTCACTTACAAAAAGAAAAGGTTTCAAGATATCCTTGCAGCATAATTCTGACCGATACATCGATTTTTGTGCATAGTGAGATGATTTATTAATAACTGAAACAAATATTTTTTCTTCTCTGCAGATCTAAGGGAAGTTAATATATTATATCCATAATATTATGCAAGAGATATATTACTTGCCGTCTATATTTCATCTTGTTCGTATCTCTTCAGATCAACTAGGAGTTCAATGAAACATACCTTAATTTAGCAGCAACGAAAATCCCAATATAACTATTCGACATTTATCTTATAAATCTTAATCAAAGTTTCGATAAATTTCCATTTGCAATGCACGTACTCAATAAACTAATTATTGTGAATTTGTGATGCACAAATTAAAAGGAGATAGTCAATGCTTATAATCCTTCTTTCCTTTTCATGGCGAATGTTTTTTATTCAATATCACTCGCAGAACTATTGAAGTTTTCCTCTTCAATGCTTCAGTTCAGTAATTGACTGCCCAATAAAATAAGCCAGTAAAGGTTTTCATATGTTTATTGTAAATGACTACCAAGTCATGTAGAAGGTCTCATTCTATCTTGGGATATGATAAAGACAGTGGAAGTTTTCCCTTTTCTGCAAATTTGCTATTCAAAACGGTAATTAAGACGTCTTTTTTACATAATAGTCACAAGAAAGAAATTTGAATCTTTTCATGACGATTGAGACTCAAAATGTATGAATTCTTGTATATCTCATCTAAGAATTGGTTGATACGGTTTTTATTTTTACTGTCTTACGTGAAAGGTAGATAAGGAAAAAGAAAAGGGTAGATATTAAGAATGTTCTATTTGAATACATGCGAGACATATAGTGGACATATTGTTTATTATTAGGATTCCTGTCAGTTTGTTTCTAAATAATCAATACCAGTATACAAAGGATTTATATAGCGTAAAAGCAAACTCAGCCGAAATAGTTCACGGCTCTCTTTTCTAGAGAAAATGTGTTAGCACCCACTGAACGGATCGACCTTAAAACCCGCGACGATAAGTTTAACACGCTACCGATTTCGCCACAAACGGAATTACATTAAAATGTGTTTTCAAGAATATAATTATACTACTGCTTTCATACATTTGACACAAAACAAAAAGTAAATGAAGAAAATATAATTTATTAATGAGTGCGAAAATAATTGCATATTTTAAAATTTCAATAAACATTAGAGTTTTTTTAGCTACCCGTGTATCAATCTAAGATATAATTTTGACCGATGTTTCAAAAATGGATTTTTTTCACTGACATGACCGATGAAAAATGAATTTACAGGGTACCAAACGCGTCATTTCCGTATTCGAATATCTTATCCATCCAGAAATATTGATTATTTTAGTTATTGTGTAGGGACGAGGATATTAGGTATGATTGATGACAGCTGATAAAATGCGTCATTATCAAGAACTGGTAATGAATCTACTCATTAGTTTTACTAAATTTGTCTTTGAAATGTAACTAGAGAAACTGACACATTGAAAAATATTAAGAGGATTGTGCGTAAAGCTTAAGATCCTATTAGAATGCCCATGTGAAATCAAGTTCTATAATTAATATTACGTAAAATTATTCTACTTGAAAGAGTGTTCCGCTTGAATACTTGTTAAATATTTATGTATTTTCGATAATTGTCCTTTTTCAAAATGGATGCTTCAAATGCAATACTACTTAGAGTTTTGAATTTAATATAAATTAAATGAAAGCTTGCAATTTTTTCCTAATAATTTTCTAGTTATTGATTTTTATGAACATTGGTATAGTGAATGTTATACAGGGTAGAATATTTAAAATTTGCCTTTTCTGTTGTAATTTCCTAACAGTTCCAATGGTAAAACATATAAACATATTGTATCAGATGAATGGACTCCGAGATTTAGAAAACTAAAAAAAATATAATAAGATTAATAGAATAAAATGAATGTCATATACATATGTAAATTCATATACAAGATGTTTTTAAAGATAAACAAGGTAAAAAGTTAAGTCCGTAAACTACAAGTAAGTAGTATTTAATTTATTGTTTCTAATTTGAAAAGAATACATATTTAGAATATACTTTCTTTGGAATGAAGATTTTGTACATTGTGTGTTAATAAAGACTGGTTTAGATGTAAAACTAGTATGTGCAAGGAATAAATCAAAAATTGGCTTTACTTGGAGGATGTAAATCAGGAATAAGAATATTTTCTCACGTTTTAAGATTCTTTGGTTATGTTTTATATATATATATATATATATATATATATATATATATATATATATATATATATATATATATATATATATATATATATATATATATATATAGTGAACATGACACTATGTATTAATTCATTTTACTAAATATATAGTAATTATGTAATATAGTAATAATTAAGAACTTGGCAAAACCTTTATTTCCCTAAAGTTCGATAGGTAGATAAAAGAATTTTTACTTCTGGTTGTATCAAATATTTTAGTAAGATTGTAGTTTTATCACGAGAAAACATTAAACGAATTCTGAAAACAACTATAATATAATATGCGTGCTTTGTTCTTCATAAAAGGAAAATCACGTCCATAAGACGATAGAAATCTTCGTGACTCTGAACTGTCAAGAGGTGTGACTGAATTTATGTCAGGGTCTGATAGAATCTGTGCGCCTCATTATTTCTCATCACTTTAATGCACGAGAGCTCTTTATCAACGAAATGTACTGGAATTCATAGGCAATATTTTGAAGGAGGTTTTCATCAATTTAAATGATTTGTTACAGGGCAAATGAAGAAATTTACATTCATCACGGATTTTGTGTCATTAACACATTGATGATGATGTTGGACATGGAATTCATAATGGGATTAGACTCATTTCAATATATTGTCGATCTATACAGTGAGATTGCAATTGCATATTTGATTGACCTTGCTGTTAATCAATAATTATTTTGCTTACTTCCGGGTAATTCAGGGTTAATTGTACGTCTTATGTATTAGAACTGCAATTTATTCGATCAGAACACAATAATTTCATTTCAAGGCTGGGGATGCAATAGACTATATACGCAACGCAAATGTAGATTTTAGCTTTACTTTTGGTAATTTATCGCTCAGGGCATAGAAAGATGGGCTTATTTGGCGTGTAATCTGCAGGATCCCATATACGAATCATTTATAATTTAAATGTCCAAGCCAAGAAAACGATTTTGTCGGCTGATCACAGCTGGGCAGACTTTACGAAAGATAGGAATATGTTACATTACATTGAAATACTTTATCAAAAAGTAATATAAAAGTCTGCTTATCTTTACGGTTCATTAATATAGGTGCTTATCTTAACGGTTCTTTAATATAGGTAAGACTTCACATACAAATTAACAACCATAATATTAATATAATAGGGTAAATGCAAGCTCCAATATAATAGGGTAAATGCAAATGTATTAAAATTTCAGTGGGTCGGAAGAATTCCTCTTGATCTTGGTGAAACAGAATCAAAATTTAACTTTATTTTTAGGAAATAGAATTAAACAGACAAATGACTTAACTGCTTGTTTAAAAAAATAAATGATCCCAGCAAGGATCGAACCAACACTTATCACTGTCATGTACTGGTAACAATTACCACTGTTCTATTGTCTTTCATCCGTAATTGGAGTTTTAAAACGACAATGAAGCTTAATATCTACACAATGTGATTTTTTGGGGAGGAGGTTTACTTTTTATGATCTCTGGGTCTTCTCTACATTTTATAACTTGTTTGCCCGTTATTTTCAGTTAAAATACACACAGATATAATGCTTTTAAATCTTGGAGCAAAAGATAGAGATAGCATTTTTATGGAACAACGTACGTAAAATTTTGTTCCAAATGATTCATCTAGTCCTATTCTAAGGCATTCTATTTTAGCAAATCAAAACACAAAATCGGGGGGGAAAATCCCTTTCCTATATCACAAACAAACGCAATTCATTAATAGAATACTAAAATATCATGTGTCGCATCCATGAAATTTTCACTTTTCAAGTTCGCCAAGATCCATGCTAGATCGATATCGGAAGCGCGTCCTTCTTTGAGATAGAAAGTAATGATGTCGTTATGACACAGTTTTTAAAAGAATTTACGAGTCGATATTGTTATCAGGAATGCTAAAAATCATTCCATTCTGATTATTCAAAAAAAAAAAAAGAGAGAGAGAGATTCTCGTCATTACTGTGCTGTCGATGATAAAAATATTTGTTTTTGGTCTATTAAATTTTACAATATCCTCAAGTATTAACATACTTAAATACTCTAAAGGAAAATCATTGTGACACAACTAACAATGCTATAAAAAGCAGATTAGCTTATGTTATTTGTTTAATGTTATTATTTTGATAAAAGATCTAACAAAACAGGGTTTAAAATCATCAAATGAGGGTCATGAATTCTTGAAGCAAAAAGTGTTTTTAAGAGCAAATGATTTACCATAATTTTAATTCTGAAAATTTGTTTCTGTACGATAAAAGATTTGGACTTAATTACGAAGAGCAAAGAAAACCTCAATTAATGTCATGATAAGAAAATTATATCAGCAGAACTAAGGAAATAAAGCACTGTTATTCTACTTACCCTTTTTAGAATCGATGTGTACAGATACGCAATAATACTCACAGGAATAATTAAACCTGTGAATAATATAGTAATAGCGTAAGAATGATTGCCAATATCGCCAGTCCACTCCACAGAACATGTAAGTCTTGCTGGCTCCAGTACATACTTGTTCCATCCAAACAGTGGTAAAATCGCCCATGTCACTCCGTAAACAAAGCATATAATGATGATGGCTAACGTGACGCTCCTCGTAACTTTGTGATGAGATTGGTATTGTACAATAAAGATATATTTGTCAATTGCTATGCCAGTCAAAATAGCTATCATGACAATTCCTAATCCTGTGAGTAAAAATCCATGGACTTTGCAGAGCCCATCTCCAAATAGCCATTCGTGTCTTATACTAGAAGCTGCTGCAAATGGCACCCCTAGAATGGCAATAAGAAAGCCGCAGATGCATAATGCAACTACATACATATTACTAGTTGTTGCGATTTCTTTACGTGAAAAGTACAGGTAGATGATAGCACCATTGACCAGAATGCCAAAAATTGTAACGGAAAAAAGATAAACTGCCAGTACAGCGTACATCGCGTCGGGAAGCTGTTCATGCCCCGATGCCACACAAGTCGATACATTCTCGCTAGAGTTAAACAGACAGATATCCTGTAATCTAGAAGACATGCTCAGGATACATCTTTCACACTTGTGTGAAGTAGCCTGTCACTTTTAAAGTACAATACTCTGAACAGTGACTTTTATATATTGCGTGTCTCCGATAGATTTGTTTCCCCGCCCTGTGGATGTAAGGAGTAATCAATATCTGTGAATTTGTTGCTTATATTTTTCTTAACTTTGACGGTTTTATTCAGATTCGTGGAAATTCAGTTTTACGCAGTTTCAATTGGAATATCTTTTTTCACATTTAAATTCAACTCAGTTTATCCCAAATTCTTCCGAATATTTCTTATTAATTGCGTACAGGTATCAAATGGTGAGAGGTATTATATAAAAAAAAAAGTGGGAAGCTAAGGATAAAATCGGACTGAGAACATTGAATCAGGAGCTAACGACAATATTTCTAGGCAGTTGCTACCGTTTCATAAATCAACGTTGTTATCAGTATAATTTTAAAGAAATTTATGAACGTTTTACGAGGGATAAAATTCAATCCTTTTATACTTGTCTTAATTGTTAAGGGTATAAATTCAAAGAAATTTATTAACGTTCTACAAAGGCTAATATTTAATCCTTGAACAATTGCTGCCTTATTTGTGAACACATGCATTATATTTTTATGTCCATAGCAAATAACTATCATAAATTATTTATTCAGATCTACTTATAATTTTTGCAAAAAATTTGTACTCGTAATTATGACTGAAAAAGAAAAACGATACACTGTAAATAAAACATGTTTACATCATCTGCTACATGTACTACAAAATATTTCAAAACGCAGTTAAAGATACGACTTCCGGAGGACATATCACCTTTCTCCATCTCGTTTTTGATGAACAACTGAACAATATCATAAACTATGGTATGGTTGAACTGAATGTGATAATCGGTTTCTTTTCTAACTGTATTTGAAGGAATTTTTTGACATCTTCATTGATTTGTATGCATGGTTGCGGTGAATTTTTTTTTCTAGAATTAGTTAATGCGTCTTCTTCAAAGCTACTCGTGCCTAACGTGAATTCTACGTGAAAAAGAGTACAAAAGAAGAACGACCAAAATGTGTCTTGATAATCTCGGGAAAAAACACAGTTTAATTTCAATTTTGAGTTATTTTACATGAAATACATTTCATGTTAAACCTTTTCATGTCACTTTCACACGAAACATTTTTGGCGATATATTATAATTAGACCAAGAACACCACGATATGCTTAAAATGATCTGATGATTGCATCTGGACAAGGAGATAGACACATATTAGAACTGTATTTCCAAATTCGCAATCCTTTTGTTATATTACTACAGCCACAATAGCTCAGTCGGTAGAGCGCTCGCTCCGTGATCGCAAGGCGGTGAGTTCGAATCTCGGCCGCGACTGACCTAAGTCGATAAAAAAAAATAGGTAGCAATTGTTCATTTGCAAGGCGCTCGGTACTTTGAAGTGAAAGTTGCGGATCTTTATGATTAGACCTTAAAAGCCGAGGCCCCGTGTCACGGCAAGCGTTGGCACAATAAAGATCCCTCACTGCTCAATGGCCCTAAGTGCCGAGTGAAGGTCTAAATTTGAAGCCCTTCACCAGTATATGTTGACGTCTCTATATGAGTGAAAAATTTTCGAATAGGACGTAAAACAACATTCATCAATCAATTATATTACTTCAGCCACTAATATGGATCAAAGAATGTTATATTTAAATACATTTAAGAAAATTCATGTATCATTCTTAATTTTTGAATTAGAGAGAACAGAGCATATGAAGAAATGTGTTTCATCAGAAAAATCCCATTTACATGTACATACATTAGTGCACTTTTTTAATTCTCCATATCTAAACGCTTGCTGAATAAAATCAGCATCCAAGTATGAGAAACAGCTTAATTTTTCTCTTGACTCTACTCTGGTTAGTAATACATTCTCAGAGAAAAAAAAGTACCACAGTATTGACTATAAGAATTTCGAATTAAGTATACTGCAATCTCATTAATTTTTTACGGCTTGTTTCTTTCTATGCTAGGTAAATAAATGGAATAAGTTTAAGTAATGGAAGTAGAGATAAATCGTAAGATCACTGATGTTTCACTAATTAACAATTTTCAATAACGAGACAATTCACTGGTACATGTAATTGCAAATTGTTAATTAGTGAAGACACATACAATGATAGCTTGTTCTAAATTTTATAGTTAATTTTTATGCATAAGTGTGTTCCTGTTTAAGAAAGACGCTGAGTAAGGAGATAAACAGTTCTCATTTTAAAATCAAATCAGCTTATGTTACCTATCAATGTACGGGTAATTTCAATTTTAGGAAAGATCTACAAGCAAATAAGTAGCACTATAAATACAATGTACCATAATTAGCCACTGCTGGAGATAAAAATAACTCATCAGTGTTAAAGCACTGCAACTCTCAGTTTTAAAAATAAGTCCTGTAAATTAGATTTTCATTATTCAAAAGGTTTTGTGTAAAATGACCTTAGGCATTCCATGTTCATTTTGTACCAACTGATAAAACACTACAAGACAAAAAAATATAAATTTGCCAACCAGGAAAATGGCAAAACGGCTTAGACCGTTTTCGTCAAATTAAGAAGAAGCAGACTGAGTGATCTAATTTTTTGCATTTAATTGAGATACAACTCAGCTGAATTGCAAGGTTAGCCATTCTTAGTTAAAAATGCTATGCTCTTTTGGTATGTACTATTTTTTCTTTGAAATGCTATTGCTATATTTTTTATAAGTAAAAATTGCTTTTAAGATATTAACATCTGCAAAAACAACAGAAACTGGCCAAAGTCATTTGAAATAGACAGTACGATATCTTTCTTTCGAGTCAACCGGGAGACAAAAACGCCATATGCAGGTGATAAGGGTATATTGCTACATAAGTAAGGGAAGAAAAGCTAAAGTCATCACGTTTATCATAAAGCTTTGTTGTTAGGTCAGCATTAAAATCTTTTTCTAGTAAAATATCCAAATATATAACAGATATGACAGAATATGTGGTATCTTTTATTTCAAGCTCATTGGGATATATTGAATGAATGTGAATAGATTAACGATTATTAATTGATAATACGTCGTCGATATATCTAAATGTCGAGTTGAAGACTATAGCAAGTGTTTCTATTTTCTCATGTAGAAGTTTTTGAATAAATTCTGCTTCATATGGATACAATAATGGTCTGCTCATAAGGAGGCGCAATTTGTACCTATGGAAATTCCAACAGATAATTGTAGGACCTAATCTCCAAAAACTGAACAGATATTGTCAATCAGAAACTTAAGCGTATTTTTAACGCCAAGTTCAGAATATTTGTGTGTTCAATCAGAATGTTTTAGAACAAAATAATTTTGCAAATGCACAATGACAAGGTAGGTGGATTTACGAGTCCATTTTTATTGAAAAAAGGAGCTGTCAATGATGTCAAAAGCCTGGACTTTAATTTATTGTGGGGAATGGTTGCAGAAAGTGAAGAAAAGTCGTACGTTTTAATGATATTGATTTTGTTAAAATTTTGCGATTTCAAATTTTCGTAAAGTTCCTTGGAGTTATTAAGTATCCACATCTCGAATATACTGTTGTACAGTACTCCTTAAGTTTCTCCTTCACTGCTGTAACTATTCAGTTAAGAGTAATGAAAGGGGCTTGGTAGAACATTTACTAGAACCCGCTATGTATCTTTGTAAGGATTTTTATGGAGTTTATGAATCAGGTATGGTAATTTTGATTGTTGGGAAAATTAAAAATATTTAAAACTGACATATAGTTTTGAAGAATTTTCTCCTTAGAAAGGGGGCTATGGGTAAGTTGGATTACCACTTGCAGAATTAAATCCTAGTTCCTCTAAAATACACTTCAAATAATGAGCCTTACAGAGAAAATGTTGTTACCTGCTTTGTCAGCGGGAACCAGTACATGTTGATCGTGTATCTAATTCTTGTTTCACTCCTGCATTGTCGAAGACAGGAGAGATGGTTTTTATATCGCTAAATAAGAAATTTCAATATCAATCTGATACTTTTAATCCATTCTGACAACGTATCAAGATCTTCTTTTTTCATATATGGCATATCCCGTCTGGCCTATTCTTCCACTGAATTCACTCGCTCTATGATCGGAAGGTCGTGTGTTTGAATCACGGCCGCAACTGACCTAAGTCGATAAAAAATAGGTAGCATCTGTTCCTTCGCCAAGCGCTCGGCACTATGAAAGGAAAGTTGCGGGTCTTTCGGATGAGACCTTGAAAACAGACCCCTCACTGTTAAATGGCCCTGAGTGCCGAGTAAAGGTCTAAATATGAAGCCCTTCACCGGCATATGGTGACATCTCTATATGAGTGAAAAATTCTCGAACGGGACGTAAAACAACATAAAATCCATCAATCAATCCACTAAATTCATAATATAATATTTATGGTCACCCACTGGTTAGAGCGTCTGCTCTAGAGTCGCGAAGTAAGGAATTGATCCTTACGTCGAGGGTTCGAATCCCACTGTGGGACGTGGAGACCGGTCCTTCGGATGAGACCATATAAACCGAGGTCGCAGTAGGTGTTGGCACGAAAAAGATCCCTCACTGCTCAATGGCCGTAAGTGCCGAGTATAGGACAAAATTTGCAGCTCTCCACCGGCAAGTGGTGGCATCTCCATATGAGTGAAAATTCTCGAGAGGGACGTTAAACAACATACAAACAAACAAACAAACATAATATTTATGAAAGTATGACGCCAGTTGAAAGATTGGGTTGCCTTAATTTTTTGCCTTCTTAAAATAAGTGATCTAAGGTCCTCATTGTTAACTATATTTACGTCACCAGTAATGACGTGTCCAGCAGGACTATAGTTGTAGTTGTAGAATGAGAAGAGCATGAACACGTTGGAAGATTAAGTTTCACATGCTCGATAGCTAGACACTGTAGAGGTTTTAATAATGAAAAAGTTTGAAGCAATTGTCGATGTATATTTGTAAGAAAATTGTGAATACAGTAAAGTATAATTGA